TATGCTTAGAATAGGTCTGTGGTGGAATTCCTAATCAAGAAGGATTGCTAATTGAATCCATATTGATAATTAAAGCTATGCAAGCGCTGTTCATTTGAGAAACCCAAGTGCAGCAAAACCTAAACCTGAATGAGAGCAAGTAAAGCTGCATACCTTGTGAGAAAGCATGGGATAGGGAATACGTGTATGAATACTAGAGTTGTGAAGGGCTTTGTCTCCTGTTCTGACTGTGGGATTTGTCCTTTTTTTCTCACTGCAGATGAATGGGATTTTAGGGTGGAGAAGAGAGACAGAAAGGAGTCTGGAGTCTTGTTTGGAAATCGTTGTGTTAGTTTGTATTAAAGTGGTGTCACCTAGAGGCTCCAGCCAAGAATACAGCCTCAGGGTGCTCCCACCCTGCACACACACTCTGCTGGGGCAGAGGCACAGGCAGGGAGAGCTGCCACCTACCAGGGGTTCCTACAGCTGCTGTGAGCTTGGATTGCTCTGCTTTTGGCTATGTGCTATATAACTTGGCTTTTGGCTATGTAACTGTAGAGATTAGATCTCCAGAATTTCAGTCTGTGTTGCCAGGTGCGCACTCCTCTCTTCGTGTGCTTGGGTTGCATAAGAAATGAGAAATGGTGGTCAACGTTGTGTGGGTAATCACCTGCTCTTGTTGATGTCAGTTGAAGGAGTTGTGATAGATTTTGTAGATTTAAAGCACTGTGTGGCCTGTGTGTGTGTCAGCCACCAGCCTAGTGGAGTGACTGAGCTTCGGAAGTATTACAGATTGCTGCAAAACTGCACAGTTGGCTTGAGGGTAAGGAGCAAAGAGTAGTTGCTGGAAGCCCAGTTCTGTGAAAACTGATGTCAGTGCTTGGAGGGAAAAGGTTTTTTTGAGAAAGCCAATATGTGGTGCTTTTCTTCAGTAGTTGATGGATTTTTCTGTGTTTAAAACAGGGAGTGATTTAGAAGTGTAGTGGTTTAGACACACCTGGTCTTCCCAACAAGAGGTGTGTGGCAAATCACCAGGAAGATGCTACTCCTCCACAGTATGTAAAGTACCAATTCCCTTGGGATGTGTACTTCACTAAACAGCCTGAATCTCGCTTTCCTCAATCAATGAAGATATGTAAACAGAGTATCTGATACATATACAATTGCTTTAATAACAATTGTAGTTTTAGTTATGTAAACATATTTTAAGTGCAGCATTTCCAAATAATGCCACAAATCACATGAGAGCCACACTAATTCCCTAGCTTTTACTTACTATACGGAGCCCACTTTGTCTTAAGCTATTTTTATTAGAACTAGCTGACGATCTGTGTGTGATGTAAGTTTGTAACTATTCTGAAGAGGTTTGCCATCTGATTGGTTCTGTTTTTCTAGCACTGGGAATTAAGAGATGTGCCGGTGTGCCTCTCTGGTATTTGTGCTGCATTACCAGTGGCTTCAGTAGATTTGCCAGTAGCTAAAAAATCTTTCCTACTTACAGCTTGGTCACAGCTTCACTACATCATCATTGAAGAAGTGTTTCCTTCTCTTTGCTCTATGGCTTCCTCTGCTGTTTGGCCTTTCATGCTGACCAGTAGCATGCAGAGATTCATTAACACTGTTATAAATTTAGTCCATACTCTTTTAGTGGACTCCAGCTGAGCCCAAACTGACTCACTGCCCTCCAGGATGTACTGAGACTTAATTACCCTCATATTGTTCAACAGGAATAACATTGCAGGCAGCACTTCATTTGGCCTGGAGACTTTGAAGCTTCTTTGCCTACAGGCTGCCATTTTCAAGCCTCAAGAAAGGGATGTCAGAAATATGCAGCCTTGTATATTAACAGCAGAAGTGACTGCTCTTTTGCAAATGACAATTGAATTGGTCATGTGTCAGTATAATACTTATATGGATTTGCCTATGATGGTGGGAGTATTCCTTTGGGTTGTCTAAGGACAGAAATGCAAGTTAAAGGAGTGGAGAAATAGAAGGGCAAGTTATCCTGAAGCTAAATGCTGTGTATTTCAGCATGTCTCACTGCTTAAAGCCAGAGAGACATTCACACAGCAGAGGTGCGTTGAGTGTCATGTCCAGTGTAGCAAGGTTGGACTCAAACGTGTGTGTAGGGGGTGATAGCTGGAGTATTGTGTCATGGGGTACAAACTGGGAGAATGCCAAATATTCCTCACTGCAGTAGCCAAAGGAAAACTTGTGCAAAGTGACATCTAGCTCAGTAAGTGCACATTAGGTGTACAGGTTGCTGTTCTGTGAAGCAGTACCTGCCACTGTTTCAGAGTTGCCGTAATTTCTGAACTAAGTTCTGTGTTGGACAACGTAGGAGTCATGTGGTTCAATGTGTGCAGTGAATGTTTCTCAACAAATCTATGTATGGCCTTTTATTCTGGCTTTCATGTGTCATGCTGAGTTTCCTATGCCAGCAGCTTTCATCATATGTCAACAATATGGCTTCTCGAAATGACACTGTACCATAATGTGGTAAAAATTGAGTGATTTACTCTTCTTTATAATTAGATGAAATGATTGCATAATCTGCAAGAATCTAGCTCAACCTTTGCCTAACAAATGTTCTGATTCTACAGTTGGATTAATAATAGATGAATTCTTTTCTGCGTACTGTAAAGGAGAATAGGAGAAACATACTTTGGAGGCAAAGAAAATGAAGATATGGGTGCAACTTCTTATCATAAGCTATGGCATCACTAGCTCAAAGCATGAGCATGTGTATCAGCCACACTGCTTATTTGAATTAGAGGAGCCTTCAGTGACTCTGGTTTGATCCCTGTCTGTCATTAGCCTTCTTACATTGTCTTTACTCCTGCACTTACAAAATATTTTCTTTGTCCCTCGGGTTTTGTTACCCGTTGGCCGCACATCATTCGTGAGTATCCAGAAATGGCTGCAGCGAGTCCTGTAAGTGCTTATGTCATAGCAGGATCTTTGTAGTCATTGAAGTATACAAGTGTCCATGCGTGCCATAAATATATGGAAAGATCGCAGGGCAGACATCATCAAAAACCATCAGAGGAGGAAATAAAGTAGGAGGCATCATTCAGAGCAGGAAAAAAGAGGAGAGCTTTGTAGTAGTCACACACTGTGAGTTAGTCATCATTCATCTCCATGTTGACCGAGGGGACTCACTGAAACATTGCGTCACTTGCAAATATTAGTCACCAAAATAACTGTCTGAGACTTTGAGGGAGACTAGGAAGATTTTTAACCTTGTAAGAGAAAATATTTTAAAGAAAAATGGGCTAAGAGGACTCGCTGATTGCAAGGCATTAAATATGCCCTTATTCACACATCATTTTATATGCATGCTGTCAAGATAAACATTACCAGTCAAGCATTTCATATAGAATTAATGTTTTCCATTAATTTTCTCTAATTATTTGTTAGGGGAAATTATTTTTTCCCTAATTAAATTCTTTTCTTTTTCTATTATTACTTAATTCAATTTGGATATTTTGAAACAAACAGGTCAGTTTAAATTCATCATTATGTTCTAACACAGTGCTGCTGTGCTGACGCAGGTATATGGAATTTGTTTGAAACTTAGTAGTTGCTTATAAAATGTACTCACTATTTCATTTCAGCTTGCTGCTATTGGTATTACTAGGATTATTGGCACTTTGGACAAGGGCAGTTTTTATCACATGTGTGCACACTTTTTTGGGCAATGTATTTCCTATTATTGAATGATTTACACTAGACTTTATGAGCTACATGAAGAGCAAACACAGATATAGTCCTTGATTGTGGCTCATGGCAGAAAAGGGAGAAGTGGCCCAAGCCTGAATGCTGTTCTGATAATACAGGAGTGTCACCTCTCTAGTCTGCCCCAGAGCCCTCACTGGGGCATAGGCAGCTTTGTTGCCTTACCAGGTGTTGCTTGAATTACTTCTGAGGTCCCTGTAGCTTAGGCTTTGATGCATTCCTATACATTTCTAGGAGAACCTGCATAGGTTCTTTGGGTATGGTAGCACCACCAAGAATTCTAGTGATAACTGGTTATCCAAGCAAAAATGCTTTCCTTGATAAAAAAATACAGGTAAGGATCTTTTGGTGATGAAAGCAATTTGTATGCTTATTAAATGGTTTTATATCTAGGTGAGGAAAGATCATGTGTATATATGTACATATATGCAAATGGAAGTCTAATTTACAAGTTAATGGTATGAGAACAAGTAAATTTCAAATCGGGATGTGTTTTATGGTGATGGATCAATGGTTACTTTCACAGAATTTAGCGTATGTCATTAATTACATGGTGTGTACATATGCTGTGTTTATTTTGCAGCCATTGAAGTTTTTTTATGAAAAGAACTGTAAGAAATGCTTACTTGTATCTGTGGACAAAGCTAATGGAAAAACCCAGTCTTCTCATCCACATATTTATCTGAAAGATGTGGTGTATATCTGCAGTTGATTTTCTAGCATGCTGATTAGCTAATACTGTTTTTGGCATGCAGCTTATCCGTTGTGTAGGAGAACACTATCTGAATTTCAATTTACTTTTCAAAATGATGTTGAACTGCTATTCCTTTAAAGACTCTTCTGGCCATTTGAGGACCCAGTGCAGACAGTGGAGCTGCAGTCTAGTCTCAAAATCTAATTGAATTGTTATGAGGCAGCTGAAGAAGTGATTGTTGAAGAGCTTGAGATGGATTGCAAAAAAATAAGTGCTTCTGAGCAACTGGCTTAGTGTCCCCGTTTGAAAATCTGCCCTTGAGTTTATTTTTACTTTCACTGGTATCAGACCTTTATGGTAAAAGGCCTGTATTTTGATATAATCAAGGAATTCATTAGTTCCGTGTGGTTTTGGTGAGATCACATTGCTATTAAAGAAGAAACTTTATGCCTCTGGGAGTGCTAAGCTAAGAATGGAAAAAGGAGTGGGGAGTTAAGGTAATGTGAGGTGTTAATCCTGTGTTCCCACCAGCAATTTGCCACCATTTAACCTTTCAGAATCTCATTCTCCTAAACGTTTGTTTTCACAGTGATGGGTCTTTCCCTTACGACTCTGTTCCCTGGCAGCAAAATACCAACCAGCCTCCAGGTTCCTTATCAGTGGTCACCACGGTATGGGGTGTGACTAATACCTCTCAAAGCCAGGTAAGCTTCTCTTTTATGTTGCCTCCCTGCTAGATTTGTGTTTTGATTAATGCTTGCAAAATGGAAAGCTTTTGGGAAAATTCTCTTACAGTCATTAACATGTCTGCATTCTCTTTGTTGTGCTTACTGCTTCATTGCTTTTTTTTTCTTTTTTTCTTTTTTTTTTTTTTTTTTTCCTCCAGTTTTGTTCTTTTTGGAAGCATCAGAAAGGAGGTGACTGAGAGCTTCAATCAGCAATCCTCTTAGCTGCATGCATATGTAGGGATAGGGTATAGCGCATATTTAAGTACTACAAGCATGACTTTGTCACCTCTTTGTAAACCTCTTAGGAATTCTAGTTTGAGTTTTTTTTATTAAAAAGAGTGTTTCTGTCTAGATTCTCAAAATGGCAACTTCTGTTGGTTTTACCTGGGTCTGTTGTTGCGTACTGTGGGCTTCTGAGATCTGTTTGCAAACTCTACCTCCATGCTGAGGTACTAACTACCAAATGTAGGTTGAACTCTCTTCAACCTCACTGTTGATGCTGCCTAACTTCGCTAATGTATTTCAGTATGCCTTGGAGTAAAAGCAAGATCTGGCTTCCAGGCAAGAGACATATTTATGTGATTTTCATTCCATTCTCTCCATCTTTACTTCTCTTTCTCTTCTCCAAAGATAATGCTGTGCAAAATTATGCTGTATGAAGGAAGCAGCTTTAATGAAAAGGATACTGGTTATCTCTGATAGTGTGCTCTCCGAGGGTTTTGACACAAGTCATACTCTCAGACAACATTGCCCCTTTTTACACCATGGATGAAGTGCCTTAAACACATTGCCATGTTTTGTGGACACAAGTGATGTGTAAATCCAACCTGGTTTTTCCATGTTTCTCAAATCAAACGTTATTAGATCCCTTACCAAATTTTTCTGTTTGTTTGTTTTAAAAGTTTGGTTAGAAAAATAAAAACAAAAATGTTGTAAATTGAGTCATTTTAAAAAGTAATCATTCAGGAGCAAAGTCATATAGATAGTCACGTGGCAGTTATGTGAACATTGTGGCACAGTCTTCCTTCAAAAAATACAGATAGGTAACACTTACCAGACCTCATTTATTACTGTTGATTTCTTTTTAAAAACAAGGTCTCCCATCTGGGAGAGGAACAGTTTAGTAAATATAAACATATAGGTCCATAATAGCACTGGCCAGAAAATGGAAAGATAGTCCGTTGCAGAAATGTTTCACACTTAAGATGGAAAAAGAAAAAATGATTCAGTGTTTTGTTCTATCTTAAGAACAGTGTTATATTATTTAAGCTCTTCATGATGCTACAGAGGAATGTGCAGTAAAAGAAAACAAGTGCTTTGGTAAAAGGAAGAAAATGCTTCTTCAGAATTACTGCGTGGAAAGGGTGAAACTCTGAAACGTGAGGGTTGGCTGTAGCTGTTCAGAGCAGATTGAGGCAAATGGCAAGGTTTCCCATAAGTCTTCGTGCTCCCCAAGGGGATGAGCTGGACTCACAGATTTGGTATCACAAATCTCAAAACTGGATAAACTCAACACCACCTTGTGGTTTGGTCTTTTGCAAAAATTGTAACTTCTAAATTTCTTCCTAAACAGCAGGCAGATTTCCATGCAGATAATCCCTGTACCGTCATGCTTACATCTCAAAGAAAGTCATATCATCTTTGGTTCAATTGGAAAAAAAAAAAAAAATTAGCAAACCAAATTGTACAAAACAGTCTAAGCCATGGAAATACATACTCCTAATAGTTTTTGCATCTGTAACATTCTTTACAGTATGTCTGTGGGGCTGGATACTTGTAAGTCATTTTGAAGTCCTATATAAACAAAACAAACTGAAAATATAGAATGTGCTTTCTCTTAATTGAATCCGTGTCACCTGAAGAATATGGATCTAGCAGGTCTTTATTGAAACTTTTTAGTAAGTGCTCTCGTTAACTAAGTGGAATTTAAACTGCCCTCTGTGAAGGAGAATTAGATATCAGAGACTCTTGATAGTTTGAAAATGGGTAAAGGAGAGATCGTCAGAAGCCAGTGCATCTAGGCTTCTGCAAGACACATGCTTAGAGTTCAGAGTACAAGATGGTTATATCGTAATTTATTGATTCCATCAAATCAACACAATTTGCTTGATGTAGTTCAAAGTACATCCCCTTACTCTCATGTTTCTTACTCACAGGTGCTGGGAAATCCAATGGCAAATGCTAACAACCCTATGAACCCAGGAGGAAATCCCATGGCTTCTGGGATGACTACCAGCAACCCGGGAATCAACTCCCCTCAGTTTGCTGGACAGCAGCAACAGTTTTCAGCCAAGGCAGGCTCCACTCAGCCGTATATACAGCAGGGCATGTATGGGCGACCCAACTACCCTGGAAGTGGAGGCTTTGGTGGGAGGTAAGATTTACCTGTGTGAGGTGGAAAAGGAATGTAAATAGTTGATGAAGCTTGTTTTAGTGATGTGATCAAAGTGTCACACACTCATTTTGATGTGTTAAGTCTCAGTAGCTATTTTATGCTGGTTAACTAAAATGCATACTGCTCTTATAGCTTCAGAAATCAGCTACCCAAACTACAACAGAATTCATCGCAGTAAATGGAAACGGCTTAGGTCAATCAATTAGTTCTAATAAACCCCCCAAATAAAGTTCTAATTAAGAGAGATTGTTAAATAGACCACAGGCTTAGGAATGATTAACATTTAATAAGGCCAGGTTGTGAAAGATATTGATGACATAATTTATGGCTTGTATGGAGAAATAAACTTGAGCGTTAGGCAACAGTAGATTCTTATGGATGGAGTATTTCTGCCCAAAGGCTTGCAACACAGCAGGCATTTTGGAAAAAAAAGAATTATAAAAATGGAGGCGGCGTAGATTTTGTTAAGAGATGTGATCTTATTGTGTATTTGTTTTGTTTTGGAGAAGTAAATAATGCATTTGCAAGATAGGTCTAAAGTAATAGCCCGGGCTTTGTTAAATTTTGATGTTCTGTGTCTGTCCTTTGTAAAGAAGAGTAGTAAGTCCACGTAACAGAAACCACTATTTATGGCCTCTCAGCAAAAACTGCTGGAAAGGTTGTTAACATAATCAGTCTAGTGTAAAGAATATAAGCTTAGGACTTGTATGTCTTGATCTCTCACCTCTGCCACTGATCAACTGAGTGACCTTGAACAAACCATGAAGTTTCTGTACCTCTATGTTAACATCTCTAAAATGGACACAGTAGTACTGACCCATATTTATAAAGATACTTGAAGTCTTGGAGTTGAAAAGACAGGATTTTGTTTCATTTATATTATGACCAGTAGAAGACCTGGCTAGGAACTGCAAAAGTAATTGTGCAAGATCTGGAAGGAGCTGATTGCAGTGGGTCTCTCCTGGCTGTTCTGCTCAGGTTGAGGGAGGAGTTCTTTTGCACTTGGCGTAGTTTGCCACCAAGGCGGGTGAATGTGCTTCTGCGGAGGCAGCTGTCTGTTCATGCTGCTGTGCAATCTGCCCCTAAATTATTGCAAAATGGAGCACGCATTAACTTTTTGGATTTCAGCTCAATTTCTTAGTAAGCTGCAGAGCTGCTGCAAAGCAGTTTAGTGCCCTCCAGCAAACAACCAGGGGAGATGCCTTGCAGTCCTAGTGGCACGTGAGCAGCTCTTGTATCTCACTTACGCACTGAATTCCTCCTCCTGCTGACTCTCACTGGGAATTGGTAACATAATTTTGAAACAGTTCTTCTGGATGTGGAACACAGAAGTTCAGAACAAAACCAGACACGTCTCAATTGTTTCTTTCTATCTTTTTTTCCTGGTCAGTTACCCTGGAGGCCCCAATACTCCCGCAGGGATGGGCATCCCGCCTCACACCAGGCCACCAGCTGATTTCACCCAGCCAGCAGCTGCTGCTGCCGCTGCTGCAGTTGCAGCTGCAGCTGCTACAGCAACAGCTACGGCAACAGCCACTGTAGCAGCCCTTCAGGAAACACAGAATAAGGACATGAACCAGTATGGACCGGTAAGAATTTAGCCCCTATAACTTCATACCTGCCTGATTTGGACCGTCACAGGGAACTGGGCTGCCTTCCCTTTATTTTATTTAGGTGCCAACCTATATTTTTGCACGAGCATGGTTATAAATGCTTATGAGAAACTAGTGGAATAAATGTTGTTATGAGTTGAAGTGCCCCATTTTTCCCCAAAAAGTCTGTCTTCATAGATTGTCCCTTTAAACAGTCAAAGATTACCTGAAGTTACGGGTACATCTGATGAATGTGTTATTTCTGCCTTTGCTAGTCCTGTGAACCTCTAAACTTGAGTATCTGGTGAAATGTTTCAGAATCTCAAAAAAGGTTTTGTATTGCTTGAGTAATTGCTTATTTTGCCAACTGCAGTCAGTTTGTTTTCTCCCTTCAGACAAGGAAACAACAATAGAAAGGAGATTTGCTTTTTAATAATTCCATCTGCCTGAACGGCTATGTGAGACATGCATTTCTGGTGATCCATAGCCTGCAGCACATCATGATTTGCTGTAATATTTTTTTTTTTCTGAAAACAAACAAGGGTTCGATTGCTTCAGATTTTCTCTTTAGCAAACCTCTCAGAGTTTTGAAATATATAGGCCCGTATGCCAGATGATGTAATGAAGGATAGCACAAATTGTAGCACAGTGCTGTATGTATGTAGCGAGCTTTGTATGCCGTCCGGACTTGCAGACGTGGGATCAGGGAAGCCAAGGCGCAGGCAGAACTGAACTTGGCAAGGGACGTGAAAAACAATAAGAAAACCTTCTACAGGTACATTGCCCAGAAGAGACAGGCCAAAACGGGCGTACCTACTTTGGTAAATTTAAAAGGAGAACTGGCTTCAACAGATGAAGAGAAAGCTGAGGTGCTGAATGAGTTCTTCACCTTGGTCTTCACTGGTGGCCAGGATTCTAGTCTTTTTCATGTCCCTGAACCCTGTATCACCAAACCTCTATGTGGGGACCAAGGAGGTAAATCCCTCCCCACTGTAAGGGCAGAGCAAGTCCGAGAGTGCCTCCTTAGACTGAATGAATACAAGTCTATGGGGCCGGATGGCGTGCATCCCAGGGTCCTGAAGGAGCTGGCTGAGGTGGTTGCCGAGC